CTTGTCAGGCTAAGTCGACGCTCTCAGCACACATTTTCGGCACGCGTACGAACTGGCAAGATGTGGATCGATCGTCTCTGCCACCACACAGTCTCTTCCGGTTTTCTATATTTACTATTTGACTACCACAAAAAATGCACGTTGTTTCCTGGTTCTCGGCGATATAATAGTTTTCTTTGTTATTTTTTGGTTCATTGTGTTCGTAAGTTGAACAACCAATACATTCAGGAGGTACGCCCATTTGGAATAAATTTGCAACATTATGTTAATATAATTTATTTCGTGACGTCAGGATCAACTTATAAATTATTCATATCAACTAGAAACCTGCAGACGGGGACAGTCTCTCGCGTGAAATGCTTCGCCTTTCCCATCAAACGCTTTCGGCTACACAATTACATTAGGCCCGAGGACTGTCGACAGTCCAGTAATCATTGTTATTTTCTTTCTTTAGGCAATTAGTCGGTTACCATATCACAATTCAAGCCTGAACATTAAAACCATGAAATGTGGTGAACGTTCATTTACAATGTTTATTACGCAGTGTGTTGGTACATTGAACCATGAAATGTGGTGAACGTTCATTTACAATGTTTATTACGCAGTGTGTTGGTACATTGAACCATGAAATGTGGTGAACGTTCATTTACGGTGTTCATTACGTAGTGTGTTGGTACATTGAACCATGAAATGTGGTGAACGTTCATTTACAATGTTTATTACGCAGTGTGTTTGTACATTGAACCATGAAATGTGGTGAACGTTCATTTACAATGTTTATTACGCAGTGTGTTGGTACATTGAACCATGAAATGTGGTGAACGTTCATTTACGGTGTTCATTACGTAGTGTGTTGGTACATTGAACCATGAAATGTGGTGAACGTTCATTTACAGTTTTTATTATGTAGTATGTCGGTACATTACACCATGAAATGTGGTGAACGTTCATTTAAAGTTTTTTTACGCAGTGTGTCGGTACATTGAACCATGAAATGTGGTGAATGTTCATTTACAGTTTTTATTACGCAGTGTGTCGGTACATTGAACCATGAAATGTGGTGAACGTTCATTTAAAGTTTTTTTTTTACGCAGTGTGTCGGTACATTGAACTATGAAATGTGGTGAACGTTCATTTACAGTGTTTATTACGCAGTGTGTCGAGGTACATTGAACCATGAAATGTGGTGAACGTTTGATTATCGGAATGTCTACACGTGATATTTTATACCTGCAGCATGGTGAGTATAGGTTTAAGCTAATTACAATTTAACCGCGGCGTTACCCAAAACACATAATAAGTGCTCTGCAGACGGTCTACTCACAAGAACGCCGCACTTTTGTTTTGATGTTTATCATTCACGCTTTGTGACAATCGTATACACGATAAGAAACAAAAAACTAATCAGCGTGACCTATTCGGAGTGGTGGTGGTGTTAAAGTAGCTTATATTGCACGTAACCGGATGTTCAGTAGTTGTTTATTGTAGTTTTAACCTATGAGAAATCTTCAAGCTTTAGACGCGTAATAAAAGTGTGCATGTAGTTATTCCAGGGATAATTACGTCATCTCGTTACCTAAGTGAAAATAATTATGATGCCAAAATATCGTTGTGGCTCCTTTTGTTTTTTTGTTACCCCTAACCCTGGCCATAAAACCGGGCTGTCCGCAACTGATTAGCCGAGAATGTACTGATGATGCCAGCGCTTAGCTGAAAACATAAAGAAATTCACTATATACATTAACGCTCGTAATACTATACTTACAGGTACAGGAGAACTATCACTATGACAACAAGGACGAAAGTTGTGGATGGAAAACTGTGAAACCAAGACATCTCCATGACATAGTAATTCAGAGTTGCTTTACCTTGTCCCCAGAAACTCCTTCTGAAGTCAACTCCCCAGTCAAAGCTATTTATGGACGTATATACAAAGCAAACAGCGCATGCTCAGTACGGCGAGGTCAGAATCTAGGCATCATGCTCGCGAGCTTGTTTACATCAACAAATTAAATACTTTGCGTATCAATTGTGTTATCAATGTTATTACGTCAATTCACGGAGCTGGCACGTGATCGTCTTTATTGTTACTTCCCCGAGATTGCAAAATATTTTCTTTATCCGAGTTCGTCTTTCTCATACAAGCTCTTTTTTTTAGTTATCCTTTTTTATATTTGTTTGTTTCAATCGCGATGCCATTGAAACATATCACTTGGCAATTAGACACACCCTCAAATGTCCCACTTAGAGAATATTGCCAGCCGAATGATCATTTATATTTATCTAAGCAAACAAACTCTGAATTGGGAACATTTGGTATCAACATTTTCCTCTTGAAAACTGAGTAGAAAAGATAACGTGTATGGCCTTTACGTATTGTTCTATCTCAACAAGTTTGGAGACAACTTATTAGCGTAAGAAAGCACAACAACCACGAAGGCTTGAAAGGAAGGTATACATATGAGGGTACAGTAAGGCAGTGTGGTCAGATAATCAACTTTAAAATGTGGTGAAAGTTCACTTGTGAATCGTAACGCAATGTCAGCGTGCATTCAACTTTAAAATGTGGTGAAAGTTCACTTGTGAATCGTAACGCAATGTCAACGACATTCAACTTTAAAATGTGGTGAAAGTTCACTTGTGAATCGTAACGCAGTGTCAGCGTACACTCAACCTTAAAATGTGGTGAAAGTTCACTTGTGAATCGTAAATGTGGTGAAAGTTCACTTGTGAATCGTAAATGTGGTGAAAGTTCGTTTGTGAAAATAAACGCAATGTCTGCGTACATTCAGTCTTAAAACATGATGAAAGTTTATTTGTAAATCTAAATGCTAAGTACATTACGTCACCCAATTTGTCTTTTTAATCGTCCTTGTGCTATGACGATAATTTGTGTCTGACCAATCCGTGGCCTTCGACATTTTGAACAAACTTTGAACTTGACACAATATCACGTGAAATACAAACCTGCAATTGTCCCACTCTGTCTACTCAAATAAATGAATACAATGCTCTGATATTGGAGCTACTATTATGATCATAAGAACAATGCATGTGAAATGACTTTAAGATGGTCTAATCGAAATACTTTGGTGTGACGACGTTCAACATTGCAAGTTTATATGATATGATATGACCTATTTTGAATGGCACACGGCTAAATCCGTTCCATCAATCATCATGATATAGCAGGGTTCACGAAATATATATTTTCTGTATAGGTTCTATAAACGCAAAGGGTTTCATTTATAATATGAGCCGTCGTGATTGACCGGGAACTCCGGGAAAAACGCTTGAGATTGTATATTGGACTGCTGCATTATAATAATGTTGTGGTGGCGGCACAGAGGTGGGGATGGGGCCTCGCCCCTCCGGAATCAAGCTGAAACCCTTTGTGTTGGTGAGCAGATCTTTCCCCCGTTCAAAGTTTCGTACTGCCGCCTCTGTAATGTGGAGCAACGAGACAGCGTTTGAACTGTGCTAATACATTCCTATGGCCATTCTATTGGTTTATGGTAATTCTTTGCTAATACAAAACAACACTTGTACCACATTTCGCATTAGAACCAGCCAGTGATTTTTCATTTTTGAAAGGAATGATCATATACAATATTTAAATAGACAGGGCGAGGCCAGTCTTTAACAATATAGACTTGAACCTCTCAATGTACACACGTATGTTTTATCCGAATATATACTGCTATACGCGTACTTATAACATAGCGTAACTATTACTGCCTTGTTGTGAGCATGTAGATATTGAATAACGAATAAGAACTAGTGGTGAATATAAAGTTGAGTGATTGTTATGTGTATCAAAATAATGACAGAACATAACTGGCTCCTGCTTACATCGAAAGGGCATGACATTTTGTGTTGCAAGAAATGTCAAAAAAATCATTAAAAAACATCATCACTAGTTTATATTCAGTACGAGTATCATACAAATGCGTAATCATATTAAGGTAGTGGAATAGTTTTTTAGGCACTTTTCACATTTTTTTTTGTAAATCACAAGCATAGCTCCATAAGGCATGCCACATACATTAGTGTATTTATTTTATTGAAAAAATAATATCTTGTACAAGTAAACTGGTTTTTTCCTTGTGTGCAAACAAATACCCAAGTTGTTTGTTTATCCAGTGTACACCCCATGAGTGCTTCTCATTAATATTCATGGTTAACAAACATAACTGAACTGGGGCTAAGCTATTTACAAACAACTGATAAGATATCTGTTTGTAGTTTACACACAGCTGATAAGATGTGTGCACTGCTTCGTTTCAAGAGGAGGACGCTGTACAGCAAAAACAAAAACAAAAAACACTTTCGAAACACAACAAATTTTGTATAAACAAAATAGTACATGAGTGTGTCACATGTTACCGGATTTTGCCATAAATTCGCCCGGGCCGTTTAACGGCAGTTTGGTATTTTTTAAGATTTTTTAAAAAATATTTTGGGAAGACAAATTTATGTTCTAAATGTTATTTTAATAAATCTGTTGTCAAAATAAAAGTACAATGTCACAGTTGGAGATTTTTTATTTTTTTTTATTTCTGTTTGATACATTATATGCTTTTTAGGATCAGATCAGGGGCCTTGACCCTTACCGAGTTCCGTGTTGATTGACATTCAACGAGATCCGAATTTTTAATTTGATGGCTGGTTTGAATATATCCACTTTT